TATAACTATGAGATATTCCTTCCTCTGAGGTTAATCTTCCATTTATAGAAAGAGGACGTTCTGGCAGTACCATAGCTTTGTGGCTTTGGCAGACAACTTACAATATCGTTCCTGTCTATAATACTAATGTCGTCAACAATTGGATACACAAAAGTATTTGAATTATTTTTTCGACGAAGAAATTTAATTTCGTAGTCTGTCTGGTCTTTTCCAATGACACAGCCAATATAATGTATCACCTTTGTCTTCGTGTGAAATTTAGTCAGTACGAAGTCACCTTCACATATTGTTACATTTGGTTCTATAGAGATGGGATATTCGTCCAATGAAGAGTCATCACTGGATAAATCTGCTAATTCTATTTCTTCATTAGCTGATTCGCTGCTATCACTATCCTCTTGCATTATCTTTCGCTTTGTTGTTTTTGATAAACCTATTGACGTTTTTCTTTGTTTCACTCTTTCAATTTCTTCTAATTCATCCATAACGGGAGTAGAAGTGTAGATTTTGGATTTTGTTTGCCTTCTGATAATTTTTTTGTTCTTATTTTTCTTATTTTCAGACTTTGGATAGGGTCTTATATCTTCAATTTTGAGTTTACGCCTTGCAGGTGAGACCTGTTTGGAGCATGAAGGTGCAGATTCCTCAATACTGTCATTTGTCTGCTCTACAATGTCCCCGTTATCATCGCTTGGTTTGTCTTCCGACCTATTACTTGGTGTAGATATTTTATCTGTTACGGTACTCGCTAGAAAGTCTTCATCGGAAAATGCAAGTCGATTTAAAGGCCATAAGCCAGGCTTTTTAAAAGCGTTGATTATGTTAGAGCTGATAAAAGATTTGGTATATGCTTTATTGGTGAGTTCTCCCAAATTTCGTATTGTTATAGTTTTCCCCGGGTTTGAAATTAACCAATCATCGAAAGCAACAGCGAGAGCTGATTTGAATGGACCGAAAACCCCAATGTCTAAGGGTTGCATTCGATGTGTGGTGTGGGGCGGAAAAGAAACGAGGCAGATTCCGGAGCTTTTACAGAATTTAATTGCATCCAAAGAAATGTGTGAGCTATGGTTATCCAATAGTAATAGTATAGGATGCTCTTTGGAACAGTTCATATACTCTTTAATGTGTTTCAATACTCTGGGAAACAATTCTTTGGTCATCCAGCCTGATTTGTTCCCCAAAACTAAAGAAGATTCGGGGGCACCGGCGATATAATCTTCAGGTGATCGCACTCTTGGTACTATATATACAGGTGGGACTATATTTCCTATAGCGTTTACTATACCAACAAAGGTGACATTTTCTCCACGTTCACCAGATGCAACCTGCCCTACCTGTTTCTTTCCTTTTTGGGAAACAACATTTACTGGTTTCATCACAGTATTAACGCCTGTTTCGTCTAAATTAAAGATTTTCTCTGCCTTAAATTTGTGTTTTTCTAACACGGCTACGTAATTTTCAAAAAATTCATTCACTCGATCTCTATTAAAACCAGTTGCACGCAAAATGCTGGTACTTTCTGGTTTTCGCAAGGATAGTTGTGGGTGCCTAGACATAAAACCAAACAACCAGTCCATTCCTAGAAAGTATTATGGTAAAGAATTGATAAACATACCTATGGAAGTTAAGTTATTAAGCAATTTTATATTCATTCCAAGAAGCAGGAACCTTACAGTCAGGAATACTTGATGCATAGTCAAAAGCAACGAGCCTAATTTGTTTATAAGATAGCCCATAATGTAAATTGGAGCATTGTTTTATGTAATTAGCGAGATCAGTCTCCTCTGAAACTGAAAATACTTGATTCACAGTGTATTTATTATGAAATTTCCTTGAGTCCTCATCGCCTGACGACATTCCTGAATCAGACTCTTTTAAATACATTTCTTGTTGATTTTATTTTTCTTTCTGATTACTTTAATCCTTGACATGAGTATATTTCTGTTTATATTGTGCAATCTTGCCGACTCACGGATCGGAATTTTGTTTTTAAAATAATTTCAAATAGCCTTCTTCATGATTTTTTCATCTATAGACGTGTCAGTTTTACGCATATATTTTCTAGGCATCTAGAATATTAACAAGAAAACAGATTTAAATAAAAACGTCAAATTCCAATCATGTTGATGGGGTACTTTCAATGATGGGGTACATTCAACCACCGGTTGAATGTACCCCATCTTAAATGGTTGAATGTACCCCAATGTGGTCTAAACAGTGATTCATACTATATTAAATAAAAACAAAATCTAGGTTAGAATTTTTANTTTAAATGTACCCCATCTTAAATGGTTGAATGTACCCCAATGTGGTCTAAACAGTGATTCATACTATATTAAATAAAAACAAAATCTAGGTTAGAATTTTTATGCGTAAATTATTTGACAGTAACAAGCTTTTCTAACAATCGATTCCAAATTTAGATATTTTGGTGCATCTACAAGTATCACCTAAAAAGCTACAGACAAAAATCTTACCTTGAAAACAGCGATTTTCAATTTTTCTCCGATTTCTGTAAGGATCGATAAAAACCTGTTCACTTGTTGACTCAAAGAAATGTATACTGTAAAGATAGTGCGGGATCCCTTATTGACCGCGAAATTTAAAAATTGCTTGTTTGAGAACCAAAGGTTGTATCTACCCCATGGTTAAAGGATCCCCAGTCTCCCCTACTGACCAGCCGCTTTTTAGAAAATCCATATATGTATTGGGTGTTCCATAAAATTGATCCACATCTGAAACAGGCAATTTTTATCCTTTTCACTTTTAACTTTGTCTTTATTTACTAAAGTCTTTTAATGAAAAATTGTATACTTATTAACCAGTTGTCTTTTTGAATTTTTATACTGATTGTCCCACAATACTGATGCAGATTAAAACTACCAATAGAACGAAATTTTCCTTAATGTTTTTTCCTTTTCTATATTTTGTACCGAGGTCTGCAATATTTTTATGAAAAACCTTATACCCGACTAACCAGGTGTTTCTTGCAATTTATGTACAGGATGTTCCATAAAACTGATACAGTTGTATATTGAGGTGGTAAAATTATGAGCTTGGTTAATCATTTCCAAGAGCCATGTGCAAAATTGTATTCTTGCAGGATAGTCATCTATGCTTAAACCTTGAACTTTTTGCATATGGTATGGATGCAGAAGTTGTTTAAGAATATTATTTACCGTGCATTTTGAAATCTGAGACTGTCGTGCTACATTCATAACACTAACTGTAGGATCTTCAGCGACAGAATCCGAAACACCATCAACTTCAACTGAACGAATAGTTCTCTGAACTCCACCATGTCGGCCCATATTTGGCATAAAACTTCCTTAAATAATATTAAATGTGTTACAATTACAAATTAGAAACCTATCTATTATTCAAAATAATAATAATAATACCAGTTTCCCGTAACCGTTAATCAACGCGTTGAAATGTTTTTGAATTCGGTAGTTGTCTATTTGCCTTTGAGCTTTCAATGCATTACATCGTGCTTCTCCATAAATTAAGTGCATATCACAATATTCTGTAAATAGTATACTCCATAACTAGGTATTTTAAAAATATTATAACAATTGTCAATTGTTGTGTAATATGATTTGAAGTGCCTAATAATTGAGAATTGCGGGGTGATTCGGCAACGTGGACTCGCCGCGGAGACATCGAAGCCGAGCTTCGAGCCCCACGTCGAGCGCCATATCGTGAATTATGATCGTTTGGATGGGTTTCCTCAACATGGGTCCGCGGTGGAGACAAAAGGAGTTCAAATTGAGCCTCACTTTGGACGCCAGGTCGCACTAGGTTCTCAAACGACTGTGGTCTGTGGTGGATATGGCCTACAGACGTGGTGTCTAGGACACGAGCTCGTGGGGGATATCTCGACGACGATGGTCGAGCCCCACGTCGGGCGCCGTGTCGGGTTAGACTTTCTAAATAGGGACCACTTAGGCGGTGATCGAATGTTTTGGGGAAATCATGAGAGTAGACGGGCGATGTACCAGAATTACTTAGATGAAAAGAACCGGCTACGTCACCTACGACATAGTCGTCTAAGGGGTGTTCGCATGCTATGGCACCCGAACGAGATGCGCATTGCTCCCGCTGGGTACTATTTCGTAAAAATGCTGACTGTACTGTATCGCCGGTGTCAACGGCTCCACGTTCCGGGACACCCGATATCGGAGGTAGGCCGACACCGGGGCGGACCGCGAACCGTGGTCGGGCTCATGGGATTCTCCGGACCCTACCAGTTGGTACGTAGGTATAACCTCGTCCCGAGTATCTGTGGGTGACCCACTTCGTGGTAACTCTTGCGTGCTACTCGTCTTCGTGAGTGCGTGAAGGGTGGTCGAGGTGGTATCAGTAATCCGCGTAGCAGCGGACCTCAACGCATACGGCGCTGTGGCTGCGCCGCACTATGTATCATTTTTTTTTGTTTGTACAAAAATCAAATATCTTGACTCAGAGAGTAGATAAAAATATGACCCTGGTTGCAAATGAGAGCTGAATGGATGTAGAATATGGAAAAAATATGACTGAGACGATTTTTTTTCTATATGACCTTCGAATGACTAGGCAAAGTCTATGCAACCCAAAAATTTTATGGATTTTTCTAATTATATCGGTCCTAATTCTCTTAAAATTTATTCCAATGCACACGATTTTGCACAATTTGGCACGGCAATTCCAAATCTGGCGTCAAAAATGTTCTATCATTTTTCTAACGCTAGCAAAGTCTCTCCAAAGTCGATATTATTTTCAAACTGCTTTTTGACACTGTTAAAGCAAGAAAATTATTCACAAATTAAAGATTAATGATCAACCTGGGTTTCTGTTTTTTATTTTACAAATAAATGTCCAATAAACACACTGTAGAAGGTAAGCAGTGACTTATAGATACATTTTTTTTTATTAACGACGAAAAAAATTTCAAAATTGATAGATACAATCTATACAATTGATGGGTATAACCAAAATTTTATTGTTTATAGTCGCGAATGTTGAAATCGTCAGGGAAACTGACCAAGGGTCGGAGAAAACATCCCTCCTCGCAGCCCTCCGACCTCTTCTGTGAACAACCCTCAATAGTTAACGAAGTTTCGCCGCGTATCGCTACCACCGCGACTACCGCGACGCAAACAGAACTCGCGTTCGACGAGGATCCGTTCTACTATTCGGAAGTAGAAGAACTTTACCAAGACAATAACCGCGAGTGCAACGCTGTACGCGAAAGAACCTTGCCGCGTCAAGTGTACCTCGACGAAAAGACTAAAGAAGCCCTTATCGACACCAGTGCACAGGACAACTACGTGCGTGCCGATCAAGTGCCCATTGACAATAAGCCCATCGTGCGCGAAATGGAGCTCGCTTGTGCCGCAAAGACAATACCGGAAAAAGACTTTCCAGATGTCAATAACTTGCTGCCACCCGAGGCACCACTAAATAAAAATCAAAACGCCGTTAAGCAAATTCCTTGCCAAAATGTATTTGACGAGATCAAGCAAGCCGCTTCTCGATCATTTGTGCTGCATCGCCCGGACTACAGTAAACCGTTTACTCTGCAAAATGACGCAAGCCAAACTGGACTTGGCGCCGTATTATTCCAAACCGATGATAACGAAGTTAAGAAGATTATCTCCTACGCCAGTGCGACGTTGACGAGTACTGAACAGAAGTACCACATCAACGAGATAGAGACCCTAGCTGTTGTATGGGCCATCAAGAAGTATACGCATTACTTAGAGGACTTACCCTTTATTCTGCGGACGGACAGTCGCTCTCTGCTATGGTTGGAGAAGAATAAAGATGGTAAAAGCAAATTTACTCGATGGTCGCTCTTGTTACAAACCTACAAGTTTCATCTCGAACACTGCCCTGGGAAAAGCAATCAACTTCGAGATTATCTAAGTCGTTATCCGGAAGCTACCTTAGAAAAATACCTCCCCGACGTAGATCAATTGTTACCACCGGAAAAACGGAAAGTAAATCAAATCGCCGCCAAGCAGATAAAATGTTTAGACATTTCCCCCACGCTTCGTGAAGCCCAGGAAGAGGAATATCTGAAGAACTGTCTAGTCTGCGCAAGGAAGAAAGCTAACCAATTTAAGGCACCCGTGCCAAAGAAACCACAAATTTCGCCGGGACCTTTCCTAATAAAAAATCTCAACCCTTAGGGACCCTATCCAGAGAACCACCGAAAACGAGTTCGTTTAAAATAATCGATTTTGAGTTTTAGCCTTGACAACCCAATTTCGATTACCCCAATTACGACAAATCAGTATACATATAGATGACGTGCGCCCCGCACCACTAGTAAACTTAGACGAAGATGCCCAGTCCGAATGCTCTACAAGTTCCTCAACTGGACCTCTAGGCAGCGGTAGCTCCCGTAGTCGCCAGTCAGAAGCCAAGGATCACACAGGGTTGAAATCCGCTGGTTTGGATGGACTTCCTGCCGATAGCGACGCTTCCCGATCCCAGAGCCTGATATCCTACCCGGACGCTATAGCTTCGGTTGTACCTGATCGGAGGAAGAAGAGACGTTCGCGAATGGTAATCATCGATACGGATTAGGTAATATATATGTGTAGCGATATATCACGTCAAATTCAAGTCAATCAGTAACGCCGGAACGTATAGTCAGATATTCTGTATAAAATTTTTTTTTAAACGGGTGAAAATTACCGTTCGCCGTTTGCTCTACTTTGTAAATATTAGTTTTAATAATTATTTAGATTTTAAGATGTTGTGTGAACCAGACAGGGTAAAAAAAAATGTAAAAAAAGAAGGGGGGTGTTGTAGACCGAAGGGCTACGATGCAAATGAACGAAACAAAATCGAAATTTGCGTTCGCCATTATTCTACGGCTAGAAATTGGCCTCAATGATTTGGGATCGAGGGGGATTATCCCTCTTTATCCTGCCTCATCTCGTGTAGGCCTGGACAGCCTTCGTAGGTGGGCCCCATCCGTCGTCTACCCCGACCGCAAATGCGGCCGGTGTAGGCGCTTTGTGGGACCTCCTTTTGTCCTGGCTGGGCCCTGCCGACTAGGGCCCTTTCTTCTGGCGCTCTTCTTGTTTCGCCGGCTCGTCTGTGTAAACCCCCGGGGTTGGTGTCATGTTTATGTGTGGTATGATTGGGTAGGGTAGTGTGGCTATGCAGTCTGGGATGCGCTTTGCTAAGGTGGCCCTTAGGCTAGCGCGGGAGGCGAGGAGTAAGGAGGGTATGGGGGGGCGTGTATGTGTGTGTCTGTCGTTGTCTTTGTTTCTTGATCCTGGCGGTTTCTGAAACAGAAAAGGTTAGCAGGCAGGGGGGGATGTCTGGGTGGTCACCCAGGGTCAAAAAGTTGGTGTCTAGGTCTTTGTGTTTGTCGGTCATGTCGGGTACGTAGTCAACGGCTTGCCTGAGGAGGGGATTGTCATGTCTAGCGGCTACGTCAAACCGTTTCTCCGCGTTTTGTCTTATTGTCTGTGTAACGTTTGTGTATTGTAAGTCTCGTAATATGTCAGTTGTTTCTTACGTACCAGGGCGCGTCGGTGGCCGTGCGGAGGGCTATGTTTTCCACAGCCTGTAGTGACTTCAAATGGCTTTTTGCCGCGTGACCCCACGCCGTGGAGGCGTAGGTTAGCTGCGGTTGAAGTACCACCTTGATAAGCGATCGCTTATTCCTTAAACTGAGGGTGTTTCCACCTTTGAGTAAGGGATAGAGCCTAGCCCTGGTGGTCTTCGCTCGCGCCACCGTCTCCACGATGTGCGGTTTCCACGTGAGACGCTGGTCCATCGTCACGCCCAGGTATCGTGTTTGTCGTTCCCAGGAGATGGGCTCCTGGGATAGTGTCAGTCTGTCGAGGTTTTGTGGGATTTTTCATTTGGATCTTCAAGATGTCCTCCTGGTCCGGTAGGGCCTGAACTAGGACCAAGGGCATTTCTTGTTTATTTTGCCTGCTCGCCATGCGGTGCACTATTGCGCCGGGGAACCCTTGTCGTGCGAGGTCGAGTTGGACCTCACTTGGTGGAACGCCCGCGGGTATTCCACGTATCACCACCCTCAGCGTTTTATCTTCGCTGAGGGTGAAGGTGTGGTACTCCTCGCCTCTGTCCACGAGTATTTTTGTGAGCTGTCTGTGGTCTGTGGGTGTGGCGGGGTAGATGGCTACCCCGTCTTTCGTGAGCTTGGCTTTAGTGTAGTCGATTTTTTGTGTGTTTAATAGTTGACAGATTTGTGTCCAGCGCTCTTTGCCTACGCAAGATTACTGGGGGGATTTTTTGTTGTGTGCTAGTGGTCTGTTTTGGTTTATTTGCTGTGTTTTGTTTCGTGTTTGTGGTCTGTTTCTGTGTTTTTTGTTGGGTACTGGTTGGGGTGTGTGTGGGCGTGTGTTTGTAGTGTTTAGTGTTTTTTGGTCTGGTTTTTTGTGTTGGGGGGCTTCGTCCTCGCTCGAGGACTCTTTCAAGTCCTTTTTGCGCTTGTCTGTAAGTGAGGGTGTGGGTGTGTGTGTATTGCGTGCATTTTGTGTATTGTCGTGTGTTTGTTTGTTTAGTAGTTTATCTAATTTGTCGTGTAATCGTAGTGTTTTCGTCAGATTGTTTTAGCGTTATTTGCATGTCGGCAATTTGTTTTGTCAATGTCTGTATTTGTAGGCTTTGTCTGTCGTTTTGTTCTGTCAATTCGCGTATTTGTCGTCTCAGTGACTTATTTTCGTGTTTTTGTTGCTGCAATTTGTCATATAAGTCAGCTTTTTTCGTGGTGTTTGGTGAGTCTGAAGAGGTGGTGGAGGCCCTTAAAGAGGACCTCTCACTGGTCGCGTCGTCGTCCATGTCGTGGTCAGAGTCCGTCATGTTAGTCTTGGTATGTGTGTTTGGGTGTGTATGTGTTTGTGTGTATGTATTGATCGCGTTAGGGGTTTCCCTTACGGGGGCGTACGTGATGTTTTGTGTTTTTTGTCTGTCAGTTATGTCGTTTGTCTTAGTCACAATAATGGTGAAAATAATTGGTACACAATAAAATAAAAATCACTTAAGAAAATATAAAGGGACTTACCCGTTTTAACCGGGCTGGTGTGTGGGGCTTCCACTTCACGTTCACTCGTTGCTACTTCACTGCACAAATACGTCCGCACAGGTCGGCTGCTCACTCGGAACTCGACTGGGGAAGTGATGAAATTTGCGTTTTATACCACTTTTATATTTATACTGAAGCCTTCAGCCAATCAGATGCCAGTATTCTGTTCCTCGCCGAGGCCGGGACCAATCAGAATCGAGCATCGAAACCCTCAGTTTACTTTTGTTGTTTTTGATGAAATCTTCTAGAAAGTTCTAAAAAGATGATGAAATCTGATGAAATATTGCAAAGCATGATGTCACGATTGCAAATACGCAATAGTTTAGGGAAATTCACCCTTAATGACGTAAAATTTCTAAATAAAAGGGCTGGTTTTTCAGTAATGAAATCAGTTCATCGCCGAAGTCCTTTAGTTCAATACTAAGTTTTCAACTAAGTTCTTTTCAAACAAATCACAAGTTAGTCTTCATCCTCAAGTACGGGATATAGTGATATAAATCTACAAAAGTAACATTGTGGTGATTGCTCTAAATCAGTTCATCGCCGAAGTTCAATGGCTCCATTCTTAGTTTACAACCAAGTTCTTCACAATTAGTTACAAGTTAGTCTTCATCCGCAAGTACGGGAAATAAAGTGAATTAAACCTACAAAGTGACATTGTGGTGATTGCTCCGAGTCTTACCAGTCTTCGACATACAAAGTGCTCGTTAAATTGTCTAATTACCTTCAGTAATTAAAGAGTTGGATCGGAACTCAAACCGACAAAGTTTTTTAGTACAGTTTTTCGGAAAAGCCGAAAGGATTATACAGAGGATTACATAAAAAGTGGTTAATAAGTTTAGTAACGTTCATTTTCATATACCTAGTACTCTTTTTTCTACGGTCTGGTAGTTTGGATTTGTTGTTTCCTGGATATTCTTTGCAGAAATTATTCCAGCGAATCACTATTACTTATTGTTGTTAGATTAATAGGTTTTTAACAGTGTTAATCTCATTGCCATTTTTCTCTTCTAGAAAAATATTATTTGTACAGTGTTGTAATATATTTTGTACCTTTTCTTAAGCTTGTTTTTTCTGAAGAAAACCTTCACGAGTTTTTTAATAATAATAATAAAAAATTGAATAATTTTTCAAAATCAAATTTTACTTTTCGCACATAACCTCAGAAATATATTTTCTGAATAAATTTGTTTTTAATGTTTTTTTCAAAAAAAAACTGAAAATAATTTTTTGAAATTCACAAAGGAACTTAGTCCTTTATTTTTCAAGGAAAATATTTTTGCATAAATTATTTTTCCAACTTACCTTCAAGATCAGAAAGGATTCACAGTCAACTCTTATATACATACCTTACCTAGATTTAAGAGGAATCCGGTTAGAAAATTAAAGTTTGTAGATTCACTTCAAAATTTACTGGCGCCTGACATAAACTTTTAAATTTTTTTTTTAAATTTAAATTTCTTTTTGAATCATCTCCCACTTTCCTCAATTTTTCTAAATTTTGATATTGCTCGGGCATTACTTTCATTTCTTCGGATGAGATAGACCCCAACACCTACGAAACTGGTGTAAATATAAAGCGTAACGTTGACAATCTTAGGCCAATCAGTAGATCATTAAACAGTGATTTTGTGACAAAAATACTAGTAGCAAACGGACTGTTCCATCACGTAAAAGACAGTCTGTAGATATATGCTTATATGTTTGCTACTCCAATTTACCATGAATTAATTTTTTATAAACATTTCTATATAAAAAAGCAATTTTTTAGTTTTTTGCTTATAAAACCTAAACTAACGAAGCAATTTGAATTCTATGACAATTCTATGAACAGACAATTTGTAGAGAATCGAAATACGATCAATCGCATCGATCAACTTCACGAACGTGAAGTTGATCGATGCGATCGGATAATTAGAAACGAAGAAAACCCGGAAAATGTAGAATTCTGTACTGCGCCATTTTTTAAGTTGTAGAGCTGACCTTGTGCACAAAAGTAGTGAATTATATGTACTTTAAGCGTCCACAAAGCAGGCGGTGTCGGACCATTTTGGCACAATTGCAATTGGAATTTTTTGGTGAATTTTGCAAAGTTTCTGGATGCGAATAGTGGGA